GGACCCAGACGGGTGGCAACGATGCCCAGGGTGCCCAGCAGGCCCCAGACACCTGCCGATGAGCAGTGGAATGAGGGAGCTAATTTCAGAGGTGGCAAAAGCTATGAAGATGATCAAACCCTGGGATGGCAGGGCGACGGGGGGTTCACTTTGGTGGGGCGGGCAAAGAAGGGTTCTCTGAGGAGCTATCACTTGAGCCAAGACCAGAGGGAGGACGAGGCACATCCGTGAGAAAGCCGTGGAGGTGGCAGGAGCAGCCAGTGCAAAGGCCCTGGGGCATACACGAGTGACCCAGGGAGAGGCTGGGCGGGTGCATGGAGCTGGCTCCATAAGGGTTGCCTGGGCCATCCTAGGGCCTTTGGATTTTATTCCAAGAGCTTCAGGTGGTCACTGGAAGATTTTAAGCAGAAGAATGATTTGATGGGGTTGGCATCCTTAAAAGTGCACTGAGACCTCCCCTACAGAGGATGGAGGGTTGGACTCAGGTGGAGAGGCCCAGATCCCTGATGTGGTTGAGGTTTGTTGCCCTCCCCTGGCATCGTGCCCCAGGACGAGGGCTGGGGCATTCCAGAGACACCTTCTGCTCCCCAGGTTTTCGGGGACAGGATGGAAGGGCTGGGGGTTAAAGGCAAAGGAGGTTAATGATCCCAGAGTCAGGGAAGTCGGTCGTGACCTGAATCTAGGCTCCAAAGTTCAGCTCAGTTAACTTTCAACCTCCTGGGAGGCTCCCTGGCATTTCCGACAGTGTTCCTTCACGGCTGCAGGGGATCTCAGAGGACGAAAAGGGCAGGTGTTGTCCCAAGATCCCCCAGCAGCAGAGGGCCCTTTGGGGACCCCAAATCCCCAAATCCTTCCCTCCCCTAAATGTTTGAAGGTCTTGTGTGCACCCGACAAAGGCTCCTCAAATCCCAGGCTCCCTTTGGAATGCGAGACCAGCCCTGCTGCCCACCCATAGCCCCCGATGGAGGGCTTGGTCGGCCTCAGCAGCATCAGGCCAGGCAGGGGACAGAGCTCAGGTGGAACTGACACGGAGAGTGGGGGGACGGGTTGAGGGGATGACGGCGGAAGAAGCTGTTTGCTCCCCGTCTGCCGGGGGTGGAGAAGCTCTGTTTTTCTGGAACCCTCATCTGTTCTTACCACTGCTGA